CGGTGGAACCATATATCTTTATTCGACGCATCCCATTGGAGCAAGTGCCCGAGGGCGAGAAGGAGGCCGCTGCCTGGCTGCAGAATCTGTACATCGAGAAGGATCGCATTGTCGACAGCTTTCACGAGACGGGCAGCTTCTTCAAGACGTCAGGCATCAAAGAGGTGCCCTGCACCATCTACAATCCGCGCATCAGCAGCCTCATCAGCTTCGCCGTGGTCGGCAGCTGCTCCATGCTGTCGATCTTATACTATTTTGTCGCATCCTTGCTGGCGGCTAACTGGTCTGGCCTGATAACCATTATGACCATATTTGTGATATGTAAGCATACTACTTACTTTAATTGTTCTCCAATTTCATCAACTGAAATGTTTTTCCACCTGCAGTTTTCCTGCTGCTGAGTAAAGCGAACAACATGTCAAAGATCAGCAAAGGTTCCACATATGGCGTCGCTGGTGGCAAATCGAAGACAAATTAGTTATCAGTCCAATATTCTATACAATAGGGAAGTTTACGTTTGATCAATTTGCAACTAAAAGAGGAGGCGTGTCCGCACCTTTAAGCTTGTGGATTCTTTGACGGGGATTACGGAGAGATGTACATATGTATATGTATAGCAATTTAACGATTTTTTTTTATTGATTTGATAATAAAGAATGCAAAATAGAGCTAGCTTATATATTTGTAGGAATTACATGTCTGGACTTTGGCACAGACTGCTGACAGACACGAAAATTCTTCGTTTGCCCTCGCTAGGCATTTAGTTCATAAAAAAAGTAACATTTGTCAATGAGTCAAGCTGATTAGATAAACATAATTATGATTATAAGTGTACTATATTTGTTAAGAAACGAAAAGTTTGGAAACAGTAAGCGCGATAAAGTATTGGCAGCATTTTTATCAGTCTTTCTACCAATAAACGGTTGCCGCTTTATTGCAATCGTTGGCTGAAATGAACTTGAAACGAACAACATTTAGATGTTTATGTGATAACTATTTAAACAAACGCACTTACTTAAGCATATGAGTTTTATATTTTAAGGTTATGTTTTGTAGAGCTTTTGCTATTTCAAATGTTGCTGTTTGGCGCGTAAGCTATTTTGCGCACACGGCTAAGGCCAGGGCGGCACTAGCAGCTGCTGAAGTGTGCTGTCGATATGTGCTGTTAATCTTATCGATAGTTATATTGATTGCGGCCAGCGCTAGGTACACGAAAAAAAAGCAAGCAAATAAATCTGCGCTACATTTCGTTGTATTAAATTTCTATTAAAATGTTCTTGATATTTTTGTTCTGCAACGTGTTCGCACTTTAAATCTTGCAGATTAATCAATGGGGACTTAGCAGATATGAACACGTATGTATGTATAGCGATAAGGCGATTTTGTCAATGATTTAAAATTGAAAGAAATGTTGTATATATAGCATTAAATGTCCGGACATCTGGCATTGACTACTGGAATTTTTGTACCCATAAAAAATAATTGTCACTGACTTAAGATGATTAGATTAGTTGAATAGGAAAGTTTGGTAGCAGTAAGCGCTTTAAGTAACGGCAGTATTATTCATAAGCTTGTGTACCAATTATCAGTAATTGCAATCGTAAACTTAAAAATAGTAACATTAAGATATGAAGAAGATTATAAAAATACCAAATTATTGCCAGTTAGTAAAACAATTTAAACCAAACCTTAAGCTCAAACGTATGCCTAATCATGTATGGCATCTTGGAACTTTTGCCGTTTTAAATATGCCCGCCATTTGCTGCAACAGCTGCTTAGCGCAAAAGGCATAAGCCAGGGCGACACTAAAAGTTGCTGAATAATATGTTTAATCGATTAGTTCTGCTGGTCTAAACGATAGTCCTATCGATTGTCTTGCAGCGCTAAGTACACGAAAACAACTTTGATTGACAAAAAACAATTCGCGAATCGCACAAATAACGTTGCTAAGAGGTAAATTTTGTTGGGCGTTCCAAATAAATACGCAATCTGCATACATTTAAGTGCACAATAAACAAATTCAAGTGTATCAAGTGTAACGAAGAAGCCAGAGATTGGACAATGTGCGATTTGTATACATATATATATATATATATGCCATATATGCCATGGCCATGTCAACTAGATAAATATTTATGGCGCTAAGCGCAATTTACATGCGATCATTGAACTGAATAGACAACAAAAGTGTAACTAATAATAATTGTAGCATGAAGCTATCACGTTGGCAAAAACAAACACGCACGCACACACACACACATACATAGACACCCTCGCGCGTTCCCACATTTTGTTTGCTGTGAAATAAAAAAAAAAAAAAAAGTATCTTCATACATACGTAATATATGCAAATAAGTTGGCGATACACACGTACGTGCATTAAGATTCATTTATGACATGACCGTGCGGACTTTGGTCAGTTCACAAGGCAATAATAATAATCTTTATACGAATTGCATTGCTGTCTTGACAACCTTATCTCAACCCGCTGGCCACTGTTTTCAGATAAAGACAGCATTTGATTAAACTGTGCATATGTGTATATATCTATTGGCTGCGCAATCAATGACAATCTGAATTGGCTAAGGTCTGTTCTGCTAATTGACCAGCAGCCAGCTGGTAAATTGATTAGAACTTTGCTCGCATTCGTTTCGCAGTTCTGCGCGTGCCAAGTGTGTGTGAGAGCTGGTCGTAAAATCGACAAGAAAAAAAAAAAAAAGAAACGCTGCTATATATACACAATTTATATAGTTTTTTATATCGTGGTTATTTTAAGTTTTATTACGTAAAACTGTCTTAGTTTAATATACCATCATATAAGCAAACATCTGGCTCTCTTAGATTATTCCAGGCGTGTGATCATGATTACGTTAGAGGAGCTCAAAAAACTGAGACTGATCCATCTATGCATTGCCATAACATTCTTCACCAGCGGGCTGACCATCAATTTCGCCCAATTGTTGCTGCACATATTCCTGAAGCCATTCAATAAGCATCTCTTCCGCAAGCTCATGTACTATCTATGCTATTCCTTCTACTGCCGTAAGTAATTGTCTCGAGTTTAAAGAGTTTCATACTAAATCCTATCCATTGCAGAGCTAGTTTTTGTCGCCGATTGGTATGCGGGCTGCAAATTGCGCGTCTTCATGGACGCGGACGATGCGAAAAAGTATGCAGGCAAGGAGCATGTGCTGCTGATGATGAATCATAAATACGAAATCGATTGGCTGGCTGGCTGGATGATTTGCGATAAGGTCGGCGTACTGGGCAATTGTAAGGCGTACGCGAAGAAGGCTATCAGATATGTGCCTTGTATGGGCTGGGCCTGGTGGCTAGCCGAGTTTGTCTTCCTCAATCGTGATTTTGACAAGGACAAGGAAATCATTGCCAAGCAGCTGAAAATAGTTTACTCCTATCCGGATCCCACATGGCTGCTGCTGAATGCGGAGGGCACACGCTTCACGCCGGAAAAACACGAAGCTTCGGTTAAGTTTGCCCTCGAACGTGGCATGACGCCGCTGAAGCATCATTTAATACCTCGCACTAAGGGATTTACGGCTAGCCTGCCGGCGTTGCGTGGCATCTGCCCGGTTATATATGACATTAACTTGGCATTTAAGGCCGATGAGAAGGTTTGTCATTATCCCTGTTATCCTTTGTATTTGTTCTACTCCTAAGTTCGTTTCTCTTTACAGACGCCGCCCACAATGTTGTCCCTGCTTAATGGCAAGGGCGTCGAGCCTTATATGCTAATGCGACGCATTCCGCTGGAGCAAGTGCCCGAGGGCGAGAAGGAGGCCGCCGAATGGCTGCAAAAGCTGTTCGTAGAGAAGGATCGCATAATTGATAGCTTCTATGAGACTGGCAGCTTTTTCGAAAAGTCTGGCGTTAAGGAGGTGCCATTCCAAATCTGTAAACCACGTCTCAGCAGTCTACTCAACTTTGCCGGCTGGGCCACCTACTCGTTGTCCCTAATTATCTATTACTTGATCACGTGCTTGCTGGCGTCAAATTGGACTGGTCTGATTACGGCTCTGTCTGTGCTTGCCATCTGTACGTATTCAAAGAACAAAAGTGTTATGCCAACTCATATGCCAATTTCTTATTTTTTCAGTCTATTGGTTAATGGGCGCTGCAATTAATAAGACACAAATCAGTAAAGGCTCCAACTATGGTTCGAAGAGCGCAAAACCAAGCGCACATTGATTTCGTAATTATTTAAAAATTCGTTGTTTGTTAACGAACGTTTAGTCAATGAGCCAAGCTGATAATCTCACAATTATATCTATATATACAATTAACTTTTAATCGTGGATTTATGCCTGATACGTTTATCAGCCGTCCTTATCTCCGTGTTTTTGCTACAAAATGATTTTATGTTTTTCTTGGCTATAGGTGAGTTTAAGTTATCAGTTTGGTAATAAATTTAATAAATTATTAAATAAATAAGGCCGCACACTAGACATACACAAAGTTTAAAATGTATAGTAATGCAATAACAAATCATTAAATAATGCAACTACATATTTAAGCTCGTTTTAAAAACAACCACTAAAATAGATAACAGATTATGACATCAGCTGACGTTGTATCGATTAAACGATACTATCGATATTTCAGACAGAGCTGCCACCCCAACCTGTAGACAAGACAGTAGAAAATGCATCGAATATTACAATTATCGATAGTTTTTCAGTTCTACTCCCCATTTTTATAAAACGCCAAATGAAAATTAAAAAAAACTTCGTACCTTTAATTTAATGCAATAATATGTGCAATTTGAAGGTGAGTTAACAACAACTCACTATTTGCTGCTTTATACGCAAACGGTACATACTCAAGTGAAAAGTGAAACGTAACACTGCCTCCAGTTTGCAGTTTGATTTGTCATTTCTGGGAACGGGGGCTCGGGCTCTCTCCTGTGTAGGCTCAAGGACCGTCTGTTATATGTGTGTATATGTATATAAATGAAATGCTTGTCGCAGCACCAAGTTGTGGATATGTGCAAGGACTGCTGGTGGGGGCATGCAGAAAATAGAAGTGTCTTTGTTTGAAGTAAAAAGAAAGCAGACGGCGAGCTGATGACGTTGAACTACGTTCAAATTTCTCTCCATTGTGCCACTGTCAGTTATATATACAAGGTGCTATATAACTACATTTCGACATATATATGTGTGTGGGCCTTATTAAAAAACAAAATCATAATCATATGGTCAAGGAACTGCTCGGAGTTGCCAGTTCTCGCATATGCAGAAATGTACGTACATAGGTATGTGGCAAGCACACACATATACATACGCACAGTGTATTAATACCAGCGTACACGTACAAATGTATACAGCTACACACACACATATATATATATATATATATATATATATACATGTATTTCGTGTGTGCGCGTGTGTGTATGTGCGAGCTGTTGAACGACAGCTGACGTTGTTGGGGGTATCGGTATGGTATCGGTGCGGTATCGGTAATCGTAAAACAAGTTAAAAGCGCAACGTACTTCCTATGTACATACATACATACATACACATAATAGATGAGTGTATTGAATCGAATGTTTTCCTTACGTTTTTTTATAGCATGCCGATTCAGGCGCCCTCATGGACAGACTTTCTCAACTGTCCCATCTGCTGCAATGAGTTCGAAGCCAGCCAGCGTGTGCCGATCAGCCTGGGCTGCGGCCACACAATATGCAAGCCCTGTCTGACCACGCTCTACAATCGGCAATGTCCCTACGATCAGGTAAGCTGGCCCTAAATCACACAAAGCAATGTATTAAATCGTTTTATTGTCATTTAGACGCTTATTGTAACGGATATCGAAAATTTGCCGCTTAATTATGCACTGCTGCAGCTGGTGGGCAATGGCAGTGGCGGTACAGGTGGTGGTGGCGCCGCCGAGGAGGAGCTGGCAGATCTGGCACCAAGTGTGCTTAAGCTGCAGCCGGAACAACTAAAATGCTACAAGCTGGGCAGAAAATGCATCGAAGAATTGGCCTTGCATTTAAAATCGTTTCTAAATTTGAACAGCAGCAATTTGCTGACCCGGCCCATGCAGCGCAAACTGGTCACGCTTGTCAACTGCCAGCTAATGGAGGAGGAGGGTCGCGTGCGTGCTTTACGAGCTGCACGTTCCTTGGGCGAACGCACTGTCACCGAACTGATATTGCAGCATCAGAATCCGCAGCAGCTTAGCTCGAATCTTTGGGCAGCGGTACGCACTCGAGGCTGTCAGTTCCTGGGACCCGCCATGCAAGAGGAGGTGCTGAAGCTTGTCTTACTGGCGCTGGAAGAAGGTTCGGCGCTCTCACGAAAAGTACTTGTCATGTTTGTGGTGCAACGGCTGGAGCCTCGCTTTCCTCAAGCGTCTAAGACGAGCATTGGTCATGTGGTGCAGCTGCTCTATCGTGCCAGCTGCTTCAAGGTGTCCAAGCGCGAAGCGGACTCCTCGCTGATGCAGCTAAAGGAGGAGTTTCGCACTTATGATGCACTGAGACGCGAACACGATGCTCAGATTGTGCAGATTGCCACCGAGGCGGGACTGCGCATTGCGCCCGAGCAGTGGTCATCGCTGCTGTATGGCGACATTACGCACAAGTCCCACATGCAGAGCATCATTGACAAGCTGCAGACGCCGTCTGCATTTGCACAGTCCGTGCAGGAGCTGGTCATTGCGCTGCAGCGCACCAGCGATCCCGCCAAGCTGGCACAGCTGCACAATCATCTGCAGTATTTGGCCAGCATTGATCCGTGCGCTGAGACAGCTAGCTGGGAGGATGTATCCAAGGCGCTGGACGCTGTGAAGCATGCCGTCATGGGTCTAGTACATTTCCTGCAGCATCACGGCATACGCAAGCCACAGGAGAGCAGTCTAGCCGGCGGCTCTGCCAACAATAACAACACAAAGTACAAGATAAGTCTGTGCCGGGACCTGAATCATCGACGGGTATGCCCACGAGGCGCCAGCTGCACATTTGCTCACTCGCAGGAGGAGGTGGAACGCTATCGCGCCCGCAATCGTGGCAAGCATATTAAATCATCCATGCCCATGGCAATGCCCAGCATACCACCAGGTGGCAAGAAACCGCTGCCCCTGGGCAGCGAGGTGCCCGCACACACCGGCCCAATGATGCCCATATCGCCCATACGCTATATGCAGCCACCAGCACAGCCGACCAGAGGCTTCCTCGAGCCCAATTGCAGCATACCGCCTGCAGCACACAATCTTCCCCCAAGCGGTGTCCATCCACAATTGCTGCGCGCACATCACAGTCCCATTGGTCGCCAGCAGCAGCAGCAGCACGCGGCGCTCAATGGACTGCTGGTGCCACCGGCACCAGGACGCTATGAGCAACGTTTTAATTATGGCCCGGCGCCGGCTCCGTCGCGCAATAATGCCACGCGTGAGTATCCGGGCAATTCCCCGACTCAGCCGCCGCAACGCAACCCACCGAACTACAACAACATCAGCAACAACAACAACAACAACAACAACAACAATATACACAACCACAACAAGAGCTTCTGCAGCATGCTTCCAACGGATGTATATCATTCGCCCTACTTTGGCAACGAGGCCACGGGGAACAGCAAAGGCAACGCCGAGTTGCCAGCAGCTACGAAACTGGGTCATCCAGCTGCTAGCGGCAATCCGTGGGAGCATACATATATGCCACAAGCATTGGCAACGCTACCGCCGCCGTCCAGCAAGTATCCCAGTCGAGTTATGTCCACAATTTTACCCGCAACAGCCGATACCTCATTTTATGAAAAGAAACCGCCGAGTAATAATGTTAATATTGATCTGGATGTGGAGAGTGCAGCCCATGCTGAATCCATGCCCTTGTTTAGGCCCAACAACAACAACAACAACAGCAGCAGCGGAAACAACAACAACAGCAGCAGCAGCAACAACAACAACAACAATAACAATATCTCATTAATATTCTGGAATAACTCCAACAAAGATTCGGCCAACTTTGTGCGTTCCGACTCCATATTGGATGACGATGCATCAACCTCGGATGTGCCCACCGGCTCCTCAATGCACAGCCGCTACGGCCCCATATGTCCCAAACGCTCGACGACTAACTGGCACAACTGGCCCATGGAGCATGACCCAAACAACAAAAACGAGTTCCTCAGCGACAAGAGCACAACAGCCGGCGAGCTAAACTTTGCAGGATTCGAGCCAAAGCCAGCCTACAAGCCGGAGCACAATGACAACCTCAATGTCAATGCCAATAAGGTTAGTTTTTAGCCTGTTTAGTTACAAATGGTTTTTAATTGAAACCCTTACAGAATTCAGCTGGACGTGATAGTGTGTACATTTGGAACAACGATCTGAATGCTAACGCAACAAGCCCCTCGAGCAATTATTGGAACAACAGCAGCAGCAGCAGCGAGCCAGCAGGGTCCCATAACGAAAGACTGAAGCAGCTGGATGGCAAGCCGATGCTGCTCTCCGAGGACAGTTTGGAGGGTGGCATCGATAGCGGCATGATGAGCGAGCTGGAAAAGAATCTAGTTGACATTGTCGAGGTCTGGTCGAATCCGGATGATAGCGGCATAAAGCTGGACTAAGCTCAGACTATGGATGAACAATGTTCGAACGAGTGGAAACATAATGCAATCATTTTTATCAAGATGTCCCCTGTTGGACATTTTACAGGTTTGTACACCGCACAGCTTAAAATTCTAGAATTTCAATTAACTAATCCTAGCAAATAGTTAAAGTTTGATCATTAATCGATCGGTCCAAGAAGCAGATAAGAAGAAGCAGTTAAAGAAGAAGATGAAAATAACAGATTTGGGTAGGGGAAATTAGAATTTATTATGTAATTATTTAATTGTCTATTTAAAGTGTTGTCGAGCTCTATATATACATATATATATATATATATATACATATATAGATCTATATGTTCATTGTTCTATATTGAATTGATGTTCGGGCCAACCGAACTAGTCCGTGTTATATTTTTAATTTTGGTTTTTAAATTGATCAGTTAGAAAAAACAAGAAGAAGTTCATATTGTATAGAAAACTTGATGTCTAAAACTAGCCACGATCTTTTAGCACAACAATAATATAGATCTAGTTTTTAGATATTCAAATTGCTAACAAATTAATGCAAATCCTGTGCACACATAATTTCCGTAGATGTTGGGTAGTTGCTCCCGAAAAGAAAATTGAAGATTGATGAAAAGCAGAAAAGGTACACAAAGTCCGTTAAAAAGATCAAATCTGTTAATGGGAATTACTCTAGATAAAGATGTTGAAGCACCTGAACTCTGCCAGGGGTAAAAGTTTGCACTAGAATTGAATGCCAAAATGCTAAAACCATCTGATTATTGTAAGACCCAGCTACATAATGCTGATAATGTATGTAGTTCGAGGTCGGTTCGTAATTTTTATATGGGCAATATATACGGAATGAATGGGCGTGTCTGCTCCTATCAACAATATTGTGTGTGTCTTTTTGTTTTTGTAGCGTTTCTTTGTTTTTTTTTTTTTTCTTAGATTATCTGTGAATTTGAAATTGAACCGCTATTTTTATAGAGAAGAGAATTAAATATGAAAAGATATAAGATATATGTACTAGAAAGTTGGGATTCAAGTGTGACCCGCACCTGAGAGGGTGGTGTGCGTCAGGGGGAAGGGGGGGTGTGGGGTGGGGTGGGAAAAGGGGACCCACATACTTTTGATAATTTATATGCATGTGTGGATGAATGTTTATATTTCTTAAAGAAATTTTAATAACGCTATTGTGCGATGTTGTTAACTATTGTACTATATTATTAAATTTATTGAAAATAAATTAAAATCATGTCCCTTTGCGTTGTACTCGTTGAACTGTATACTTGCAGCCCTACTATATACTAAATAAATATATTAACGATATATATGTATATATATATAGTATATATATATATATATATATACATATACTATAATTAATGCGCGCGCTCTACTACGCATGTAATACATGCGTTAATATTTTAATTGATATATTAATATTATATATTAATATCAGATGATCCCATGTTTTGCTTGAAGACTTTTTTGATTCTAATGCTAACTCAAAATGAATTTTATATATATTTGAAATCAAAAGTCAAGAAAACCTATCAAACCTACTATCATATACATATAAAACAGATCGAACCATATTAAATTTAAACGATCCGATCTGATTTATAGCCGATTTTCATTGAAAATGAATGTGTTGTTAAACCGTTGATTAAAATCATAAAACAAAATGCAATGAAAAACTATAAGAGAAGAATCCTATGTATATTTAATTAGCTCAGTTGTTAATGTGAAACATGCGCGAGACACAGAGTTCGAGTTCTGTTCCGTTTAGTTAATGCAAGCAATACATGCATACATATGTATTTTTGTTATTTATTAAAATGATATTGTATGTATATGCAAGAAAAAAAAAAAAGAAAAGAGGAAGAATAATATGTAACTATGTATGTATTTCCTACATATGTTCAGTAATTGACGCATTAAATAATGTATAATGTAATATGCCTAAGCAAAGAATTACTGAAAACTGATTATCGATAACAAGCAAAAGATCGATAAAATGCGATGCGATCGTTATATATATATATATATATATATATATGTGTGTGAAAACGAATGAGATTTGTAATATGTATTTGTAAAGTTCGCCAAAACGTTTTGTTTAGAGCTTCATCTCAAGTTCCACGTATTTTGTGAGTCTCGTTAAGTGCGATGCACGATCCGCGAAACACGACCCATCCCGATCCCAGATCCTTTTAACCTTCAAAACCGGCAACCGCTGCGCCAGTCTGTGAAATCCTATTGCGTACTTAAGACACCACCGCGTGGGTGGAGCAAACGGGAGAATTGTGGTGCAGTTTTAGTCTAAACCCAATGGGTTCACATAACTTCTTTGTTGAGTTGACTTTTGTAATCTTATAAATCTATTCTATGAACTTGGAGTTCGAGCAGAGCCAACATTGAGCAGAGACGGAATTCGAATTCCAAGAGCAAATCAACTACATTTTCTATATATATATGTATATATTTATATATATATACACTATACATATTATATGTATTATATTTAATACACGTATTTTTTGTATTATCATTAAATGTTAATTTTAAGTAATTTTGATTTCTGTTAACCCTCCCAAAAAACAAAACAATTTATTTATTTTATTTTGCCAATAAATTTTTCAATTAAATTTCAGTTATGTTTTTACTTAAGTTCATATTTTATATGATATATGTATATATATATAGGTTATATATCTTGAACGTGTGCAACATATCAGAGCCGATTTTGAAACTTAGAAACTTACACGATACCACCACCCACTAAAAAAAAAAACAAAAACGAAATACCACCCGAAGTTAACTATGGTTAAGTAAACAGTAACTAGTTATGGACAATCGACCCAAAGTTCTGAGACACATTCTCAACTCAAGTTATATATATATACTTATATATAAATATAGAATACTTAACGAAAATAAATGTATATAGAGATATGCCTATGTATTTGATATAGACGCTTCTGTTCCTTGTGACTAGGTTTAGTGTTGTTCAACAAAAATTATTGAATAGTACTCACGAGTGTCTGAATACATTCGAATACCAATAGCTGGCAATAGTTAACTCGTAAAGTCTCTGTGTAATAGTTACATTATTGATGAACTACAAGTGCTTCACAAGTAGCTGCAATCAGGCGCTTCTATCAATTGGCCAAGTGACTTACAATAGTTTATATACTTATCTCTCATAAACACATGAAAATCTCTTCCATCCTAATGCATCAGATGTATTAGGGCGCGGACAATACAACATTTGCATGCTTCTTCAGATGGCACCCAGCTCTACAGATTAGAAAACGAAATGTCCACTCGAACGTATTTGAATATGTACAAAAATGTTATATTCAGCGATGAGAAAAATTTGTGTTATTTGTTGGAGATTCTTAAATTGTGATGATGTGAAATTAACAGTTAACATATAAACTACTCCCAGTTTAATGGGAACAAACAAATGTCTTTATATTTCCATAGATATGTACTTATTATTATAATAATCTTAACTAACTACTAATGTATACACACAATTATGCATACATACGAGCTAAATAACCGAACATAAAATCAAATATTATTTCAAATTTTATCTACAAAAAAAAAAAAAAAAAATATAAAAAAAAATAACTGACACAGTCTTGTATCTGTGTATCTGATAGATACTTTATCCTGTTCGTGCCAGAGTCTTGAAAAACTGTTGGCAACATCAACTCAATTATGTATGTACTTTTTTGTGTGCTGAATTTTCTTAAAATTCATTATAAATGTATTAGAAATTGAAACAAAACAAAACGAATTAATGTGTGTGCGAGAATTCTCAATAAAAGTTATTTAACGATTTTTGGGCTTGAATATAATCTTAAAGGTAGCCATAGTTAAAAGAAACTTTTCCTTTTAGCAAAAGGCATTCCAATTTATGGAAAGCTCTTAAATTTACAAAATGTTCCATAGATTATATTATTTGAGCCAATTTTATTGATAAAACTAATTAAAGTTCTTTTAAACTCTTGCTTAAGGTAAGTTTATATCTTAAAGATTTCATTTTGAAAGATATACGAAAAGAATTTGTTTAAGTTTCAGTTTTTAGCCAAATTAATCATAATAATTATATTTATTTGATGCATTTTAACTTTATTTAAGTTTTCAAGTGGGCTTAAAGAATTTTAGTATATGCATGGAATATTAAGTTTTTTATTAAGTCTTTGCATAAACAGATATATGTTATCTGCCCTTAAGCTCAATTATAATTTTCGCTTTAAGCTAATGTCATTTGAGCATAGTCGCAGCATCAATTGTGGTTTGACTGAATGCTATGCAAGCTTCTGTGGTTGATTATGAGAGAGATTTGAGAAGGTATCAGGTGGAGGAGAGGTTAGCGCAATTAACAAGTCTAGAAATTGATAAAAAATGAATCGTATTTTATTTTAATGAAATGTACTTTGAAACCAGTTTATAGAAAAATTGCTGTTGGGTGATATTCAATCTTGGAGCACGGGCTTCCACATGACGGGCATGTCAAGTTCTTCCATTTCGCCCACGTCCAGCTTCCAGACGCCACCATTTTGGCCCTGTTCAATGACCTTGACCATATTTCTGGCGCAGACCTCCGGTGGCTGACGCTTTACCTTGGGTATAATTTTCTTCATGGGTGTCTCAAACGAAAATGTTGTCTTGTCCAGCATATCGGCCAGCAGGGGCGTGTCCGTGAAGCCTGGACAGATGGTGATAAAGGCCACGCCGGTGTGAGCATAGTAAGCGGGATCCTGTTAAGAAATTGAGGGCGTCAGAGTATGAGTGAGCACTCCCAACTTACGGTACTCACCGCCAGACCACGTGTGAATGCGGTGACGCCATGCTTGGCCGCCGAATAGATGGACATAAGTGGGGTAGGCTGCAGCCCGGCCACGGATGAGATGTTTACCACGAGTCCGCCCCGGCCGCCCTTGGTCTGATCCATGTGCTCCAAGGCCAACAAAGAGCTGTTGATCAAGCCCAGCTGGAATGGAATTTGATTACCGTTTGCACCACACTAAAACGCCTACCCACCAGGTTGATTTGTATGGTCAGCTCCACGAAATGGTCGTTCATCAGGCCCATGCCATTGACGACCAGATCGAAGTGTTGCAAGCGTGCGGCGGCCGCTTTGTAGGCCGCCTCGAGCTCTGGCTTTTGGGTTATGTCCACTTTTTGGTAGAAGATCTCGGTATTTGGATACTTTGCCTGCCATGCGCCCATGAGCTGATCATTCGGCGCCAGATCGAACACGGCCAACGCCTATAAAGTCAACCAAAAACTCGATAAGCCAAATTGAAAACACGTCTCGGTCACGAGCAGAACCAACCTTCAGCTGGCGTTCGAGCAGCTCGGCGCACACTTTTTGGCCAATTCCGCCAAAGCCACCGAGGTAAACCACATTTTTACCAGCCAAGTCCATTTTTCAATTAGCACTCTTTAAGTTTTTTGGTTTAATAATTCAGCTTGTTCTCGGTCCGACGTTTGGCTTTCAACTGAACGTAGATCTCGGCTCTCCTGAGTCTTTGATCGCTTTGTTTATCAAACGCAATCATCAGCGGCGATATAAGTTTCTTCTAATACCCTGTATATAATTACATTTTGCAGCTGAAAGAGGGCATGCTTTCTCTAAACTCGAATAGTCTATATATAGACTTATTCCCGATAAGCTTCTCGACCTGGGCGTATCTGGTTTCTTTGGATTCAATAAGAAACAAATTTTCAATATTGAAATTCATGAAACAAAAAAAATTTGACTGACAAGCAAAGATAAACATATTCTTAGAGAATCTTCTTACAGGGTATTTGTTAGTCAGGCACTTGTAGCTAATGTACTCTTGTTCAGATATGGATGTGTTTAACAAGAGTTCAGTGCCTTCCACTGTGGAGCATTAACTTCGCTGCGGAAGCGAGTAATAAAAGTTTTGATTAAGATATCACAGCATCTTCTTCGATAGTTGAGGACCCCCGTCTAGATTTTCCAACCGATGGACGCGTTGAAAATGTTTATTTTGGTGCTCCAAAAACAAACATTGTTCAATTTAATCTATATTTAATGTCTTGAGACAAACAATGCATGAGATATCTGTAAGGAGCCGAAAGCGTATTTGATGAGCGCTATGAGGTTTCTTTATTTGTGATTAAATTGTATTTAGATCATTATTAACAGCATGAGATATAGTTAGAAACTTCCTCTTAACCTCTATTTAGCACTGGCTACTGTGAGCTTGGGCTAAAATAACCCCATATAGACTAGAATTCCAGCTGGGATTTTTATACCCTTGCAGAGGTTATTATAATTTTGTCGTGAAATGTGTAACGCATAGAAGGAGACATCTCCGACCCCATAAAGTATATATATTCTTAATCAGCATCAACAGCCGAGTCGATATAGCCATGTCCGTCTGTCCGTCTGTCTGTTTCTATGCGAACTAGTCCCTCAGTTTTAAAGCTATCTTAATGAAACTTTGCAGAACTCCCTCTTTCTGTTGCACGCAGCACATATGTGAAAACCAGCTGGATCGAACCACTATATCATATAGCTGCCATAGGAATGATCGATCGAAAATTAAGTTTTTGTATGAAAAAACATTTTGTTTTTCAAGATATCTCGACCAAACTCGGCATTTATTAGTTTATTAGTTTGCTCCTCATATATATTAATAATCCTTTTAAGATCGGACCACTATAACATATAGCTGCCATAGAAACGATCGGTCGAAAATTAAGTTGAATGAAAAAAAGCAAAGCACTATGAGCATTATGAAAAGGTTGGAGCTGCAAGGGTATTAGATCTTTGGCGTGCCGAAGATAGCCCTTCTTTCTCGTTTATAATCATTTACCTGGATCACTTTTAACAAAGGGAATGTCATCCGCCATCTCAAGCTAAGTTATGGCTTATAAGCCGAAGGTTTTTCTGTCTAGGGCTATGCTAGATGTTTTACAAATAATAATAATAATAATTTGTATGCTCAGCGGCACTTGTTAGGCCAATTTTTATGGCTTTGCTGGGGTCTACGATAAGATATGAAGATTTCACATACTTGTTCTTGATAGGAATCTTATTGAATTGCGCTTGGACGTAAATAAAGTGGGGAACACTACATATATGCTACTTGGGTTAATTTAATTGATTGATCTCACTTGGGTGGCGCGCACCGGAACTCAACTGTGCAAATGGGAAGCCCCACGCGGCATCGCAAGTGCGTGGGCTAATTGCGCAATCGTTGGTCGTCGTCGATTGTATCCGTATCAATATTAAGTTCACTATTACAAAACAGCCAAAGGCAGAGCAGCCGCTGCAGCTGCAGCTGGTGGTTTGTAAGCCGATCCGCTGGAGACGCCAATTTGGAGGTCAGGCGCAGATTTTGCCGCTCATCAGTGCATCGGCTTTGCGAGTGGGCAGTATAAATAGACACAACGTGGCCACTGCAGCAACAGTTCCACATAGCCAACTACCTTGACTAGCTCGCCAGGATGCAGTGCTACATTTGGTTCATAGCCACAGCCGCCTTGTGGAGCGTCGCAGCGGGCGCTGGCTCGAGACCCATTATTGGCCCCGCCCGGCGTGGCTATCAGGAGCAGGATACCGCACGTGCCTTCTACTCGTACGGCTACAGCGATGAGAATGCGGCGCGAGCGGAGTACACAGCCCGCGATGGCTCCTCGCGTGGCTTCTACTCCTATGTGGATGCCAATGGCAAGCTGCAGACGGTCAAGTACGAGGCGGGCGGTCGTCAGGGCTTCAAGGCGGAGGCCAGCAATCTGCCCAAGCCGCCCGTCGACGACAAGAAGCCGGTGACGGACACGGCGGAGGTGCAGCTGGCGCGCCAGGCACATCTCAGCGCCATACGCGAGGCACAGGACAAGGAGCGGGCTGCCAATCTGCACGAACGGGCGCAACAAAACGAGGAGCAGCCTCTAAGCGACGAGGATGCCGACGTATTAGAACGTGTGCGCGCAGAGCTGGCAGCCATGCTGGCGGAGCGGCAGCGAGGCGAGGAAGAGGCACAGAACGAGGCCGCAAACGAGGCTGCGGAGAACAGGGAAAGTGAACGGGAAAGGGAACGAGAACGGGAGAGGGAGCGGGAACGGGAACGTTCGCGGGAACGGGCGCGGGATCAGGAACAGACACGCCCACGTGATTCCAAAGATCTGCGACTGCGCACGGTCTACCGCCTCGCGGACATCAGTTCCAGCAGCTACCTGAAGCTGAGCGAGGATCTCGAGGATCGTCTGGGTAGTCAGGAGCTGCGAGTACCCGTCAGCGCCTATTATTCCTACGTCTCGCCCAAAGCCAAGTACAGCGTAACCACGCCCACCGAGCTGAGAAGCTTGCGTCCCGTGGCGCTCAGCCGCAGCTTGGTTTTGAGCAAACGGATCTAGAGATGTCTCTGAAAGATTTGATGAATCCTGGTTGGAACTTAGTTGAACGTACTCTTAAGAATAAATGCATTCTGTGCACCATAGTGCCTAATCCTTGGACTTGTGGCAATATAAGGGCGGAGCTAGAATAGTGTGGGTGTCGATATACTGTATAGACATTTGTTGAAATTTCCCACCCCATAACTCAGTCAAATCTCATCCGATTTTCATAAAGTTTGGCTTTTTGTACATGGTTTGGACTCTAGATCAATGTTGCATTTAAATCTGACAACATGATTTTTGGTCAAAATGCATGTCAAAATGGTGCCCCCAAATATCCTATGTAGACATAGGTCAAAACCTCCCACCCCATAACTCAGTCAAATCTCATCCGATTTTAAAAAAGTTTGGTTTTTTGTTCATGGTTTCGCCTCTAGATCAATGTTGCATTTAAATCTGACAACATGATTTTTGGTCGAAATTCATGTGAAAATGGTGCCCCCAAATATCCTATGTAGACATAGGTCAAGATTTCCCACCCCATAACTCAGTCAAATCTCATCCGATTTTAAAAAAGTTTGGCTTTTAGTTCATGGTTTGGCCTCTAGATCAATGTTGCATTTAAATCTGACAACATGATTTTTGGTCGAAATTCATGTGAAAATGGTGCCCCCAAATATCCTATGTAGACATAGGTCAAGATTTCCCACCCCATAACTCAGTCAAATCTCATCCGGTTTTTAAAAAGTTTGGCTTTTAGTTCATGGTTTGGCCTCTAGATCAATGTTGCATTTAAATCTGACAACATGATTTTTGGTCGAAATTCATGTGAAAATGGTATCATCAAATACCTATGTAGACATAGGTCAAAATTTCCCACCCCATAACTCAGTCAAATCTCATCCGATTTTCATAAAGTTTGGATTTTTGTTCATGGTTTGGCCTCTAGATCAATGTTTCATTTAAATCTGACAACATGATTTTTGGTCGAAATTCATGTGAAAATGGTGCCCCAAAATATCCTATGTAGACATAGGTAAAAATTTTCCCACCGCATAGCTCGGTCAAATCTCATCAGATTTTCAAAAAGTTTGGCTTTTTGTTCATGGTTTCGCCTCTAGATCAATGTTGCATTTAAATCTGACAACATGATTTTTGGTCAAAATGCATGTCCAAATGGTGCCCCCAAATATCCTATGTAGACATAGGTCAAAATTTCCCACCCCACAACTCAGTCAAATCTCATCCGATTTTAAAAAAGTTTGGCTTTTTGTTCATGTTTTGACCTCTAGATCAATGTTGCATTTAAATCTGACAACATGATTTTTGGTCGAAATTCATGTGAAAATGGTCTCCTCAAAAATTCTACATATGTCGACATAGGTCAAAATTTCCCAAACCCATAATTCAGTCAAATCTCGTCCGATTTTCAAAAAGTTTGGCTTTTTGTTCATGGTTCGGCCTCTATATCAATGTTGCATTTAAATCTGACAACATGATTTTTGGTCAAAATTCATGTCCAAATGGTGCCCCCAAATATCCTATGTAGACATAGGTCAAAACCTCCCACCCCATAACTCAGTCAAATCTCATCCGATTTTAAAAAAGTTTGGTTTTTTGTTCATGGTTTCGCCTCTAGATCAATGTTGCATTTAAATCTGACAACATGATTTTTGGTCGAAATTCATGTGAAAATGGTATCATCAAATACCTATGTAGACATAGGTCAAAATTTCCCACCCCATAACTCAGTCAAATCTCATCCGATTTTCATAAAGTTTGGATTTTTGTTCATGGTTTGGCCTCTAGATCAATGTTTCATTTAAATCTGACAACATGATTTTTGGTCGAAATTCATGTGAAAATGGTGCCCCAAAATATCCTATGTAGACATAGGTAAAAATTTTCCCACCGCATAGCTCGGTCAAATCTCATCAGATTTTCAAAAAGTTTGGCTTTTTGTTCATGGTTTCGCCTCTAGATCAATGTTGCATTTAAATCTGACAACATGATTTTTGGTCAAAATGCATGTCAAAATGGTGCCCCCAAATATCCTATGTAGACATAGGTCAAAACCTCCCACCCCATAACTCAGTCAAATCTCATCCGATTTTAAAAAAGTTTGGTTTTTTGTTCATGGTTTCGCCTCTAGATCAATGTTGCATTTAAATCTGACAACATGATTTTTGGTCGAAATTCATGTGAAAATGGTGCCCCCAAATATCCTATGTAGACATAGGTAAAAATTATCCCACCGCATAGCTCGGTCAAATCTCATCCGATTTTAAAAAAGTTTGGATTTTTGTTCATGGTTTGGCCTCTAGATCAATGTTTCATTTAAATCTGACAACATGATTTTTGGTCGAAATTCATGTGAAAATGGTGCCCCAAAATATCCTATGTAGACATAGGTAAAAATTTTCCCACCGCATAGCTCGGTCAAATCTCATCAGATTTTCAAAAAGTTTGGCTTTTTGTTCATGGTTTGGCTTCTAGATCAATGTTGCATTTAAATCTGACATTATTTTTTTTTCGAACGATTTTAAACTGTGCGTTGTCAAGCTTTGAGCATTTCAAAAACATTGTTTACTTAATTTGTGAATTTTAATTTGGGTCATCCGTAAATCCCTTTAAAGCCTGCCATATTTGCTGACTACAGCTCTAAAACTGTGGGATACATTGATTTTTACAATGCATCCAAGTTAACATGAGCTTATATTAAAGCATATACACATACTCTTTTCATTTTGCGAATAGAGTTTTTTTTAAAGCTTTTGCTTTTATCAAGGCTGTGAATCCATCATGAAATTCCAGAGGAAGACTCAAAGTAATACTCTCTAGGTAGAAAGTTGTGCCAAGTCAATCGAGAAAGAATATCTGAAAAGCCTTCTCTTGTTTCTACTCACCTTATTCCCCTTCTCAGCAGGAAAACAATAGATTGTTTTTTTTTTTGCAAAAATTTCAATTTTATTGCTTAACAGAAACCAAAACAAGGGAACCAAACGATTGCTGCATGGAGCTTAAGCCACGGGCAGGTAGTCACGAGCGGGTGATGCAGCCTTCAGCAGGGAGTTGTACCTGTAAATGTAGCCACTCGCAGGCTGGTAGACATAAAGTGGCTGCGAGATTATGGTATGGCTGTGCTCTGGGGAAGATTTGATAGTGGCGGTGGTCGTGACCTTGCCCAGCTGGTTGCGCAGCTTCTCCGCCTCGAAGCGCTTGAAGAAGGCAACTTTGGCGTCGGCCACCTCGGGCGTATCCTGTACAGGGCCGGTCAAACTGGAGCCGCCAGCCAGACGCAGCTTGGCCTCCGCATGGGCAGCCAAGTGCTGGGCACGCAGCGCAGCCACCTCGGCTGTTTCCGCATTGGGTCGCAGCTGCTGCTGCTGCAGGCTGCTGGCCGTGACACGAAAGCCATTGGCATCCGCCTGGTAGTTGACCGTCTGCTGTTCGCCTCTGGCATCCACATAGGAGTAGGAGCCGTGGGTGACGCCGTCCGCCGTGCGCGTCTCATGCTTGGAGTAGAGCGGCGCCGTATAGCCATAGGCATACTGGCCATGCTCATCCTGGCTGTGGTATTGGCTGAAGGTGCCCGCCGCCAGTGGAGCGCCATAATCCAGCAGGGCTGCCGAACGGCCCAGTGTAGCTCCAAGAAGCAGGATTAAGCAGAGATTAAGACAGAAGCTGATCGACTGCATCTTCTTTTCTTCTTTTATTTTTTTACTGATTTTTTTTGGCGGGTTTCTTTTGTGGCGCTGCTAGTGTCGTGGACTAGTACTCGCTCCAGAGAACTCTGTGCGTGACGATGCCGCGATTCTGCTTTTTATAGGCGCCTGCGTGAGGCGCCTTCTTGGCTCGAAACGCGATGCAGTTGCCAAAAATTTGCAATATCGTGCGTTCTTCGGGAAGGTCGTCCAGTTTACTTTCATATTCCCTGTTTGTTGTTGACTGTTTTGTTGCAAGCAGCTGCTCTTCCTCTTGATCTGTTTGTACATAAATATTTTGTCGATTTCAACAAGTTGAGCATAAATTTGTACACAAAAGCCGCAATTTGTTTTCATCTGTCAGTGGACAGTGGACGACGGGCTGCCCCAGCGCAAGAACTTAATCAGGCCAGCTCTTGTCTCTGTCTTGACTCTGTCTCTGTCTCTGTGTGTCCTAAGGTCAAGGAACCATCTTTTGATATGTTGTTTATGCCGCTATTAAATTTAATTGAAATCAAAATTCGCAATGCATTTATGAAATGCCGTTGGATGAGCTGCTAAAAGGCCTCTGAAGTAAACACACACAGCGGGTTTCTTTCTCAATGGATGCGGCTTTTGACGGATCAACAGCCGCCGACAGCGTGGAAAACCAAAAGGTAGCCGTAGAGCACGTCTTTTTAAATTAATTACCAATATTATAAACAGCGAGTAAAGGAACAAGATGTCCCTCTGATCGGAAGCACTCGAAATAAACACACAATCATTACCTAACGAGATCTTTGTTGGGAGCAGCTGTGAGGCAGCCTAGTTTGTTTATTGATGTCAAAAGATCCAATTTGGATGCCTGATACAGCTTGTTCTGACTGCCCGACATCAACGCATAGCCTAGGACGGAACTAGGAAGCTGATTCCTTATTTGATAAATGTGCGCCCTGGAATTCCACTCGCAGGTGTGAAAAAATCGTGGAAAACAGTTGCTTACAACTTTTTTGGGTACCACTCGACCCGCTGAATATAGTGGTCAGTGTTTATTTGAGTGGAATTTTAATTTCCGGGCTTTGTGCTTATTTAATTTTGAATAGTATGGAGTTAAATTTGTTCAATTGAAATTCATAATATTTAAATTCTCACGAGCGGAACATGGGTGGAAAAGAAATGTGTCAATTCTAAAAAATAAAAGCCCATCTAATGGGATAATGCCTATTGGTATTGCATTTATATGGCTCTGCAAGATCAGCCTGTCGGAAAAAGGAAACGTTTTCTCCGTGGGCGAAGATATCAATGTATGTGCCCTGATCTTTAAAAGGAATTCATAAAACGACAAGCTGTTTAGTCTCAAATCTCTTTATTCGCACTTGGCTAGATTACAAAATTCAGTTTTAGTAGTAGAAACCGGAGCTGTAGTAGCGTGGAATGCTGTATCCGTAGACCGACTGCACGGGCAGAATGACATGGGAGCTGCGAGCAACTGGAATCGAGCGAGCGCTGAGCAGCTCGTTGCGCAGCTTCTCGGAGGCGACACGCTTCAGATGAATGGACTTGGCAGCGGCCACCTCGGCTGTGTCGGCAACGGGAGCAGGCAGGTCCAGATCTGTTGATTGGTGGTTGAACTGTTGAGCCTGCGCCAGACGCAGTCGATCCGTCTCATGAGCCGCCAAATGGCTCTGAGAGGCGGCGGCAACTTCGACGGCGTCAGCTGAATTGTGGGCAGCAGCGGCAGCTGCAGCAACGGGAACGTCAGCGCCGGCGCCGGCGCTGCGGGCGTCGCCAGCTGGCGAGCTTGGCGCACGAAACTGCCGCTGCGGCAAATTGGTGGCTGCCACATGAAAGCCCTTTGCATCGGCCGTATAGTCGACGGTCTGCAGCTTGCCCGCCGCATCGCGATAGCTGTAGCTGCCGCGCGTGATGCCGTCCAGGCTGCGCACCTCCTGCTTGGTGGAATGCGGCTCGGCATAGCCGTAGGCATACTGGCCCAGCACATCCTGCGTCAGATACTGCTGCTGCGTGGGCGTCACCAGAGCCGACCCTTGCGCCGTATACACATACGGATAGTTGGCATACAGCGCCATGCCCTGAGCCAGCGCCAAGCTGGAGGCGACGAGTGTTACCAATAGAAGTTGCATGTTGAGTTTGAAGTTGGAGCTGGGTGTGTGTACCGGGCCACGTTAGTTGTTACTGCATTTGGCTAGCCAGGGCCGCGTCCTTTTATACCAAAATGTTGCAGGTTCTGGTTCTCGTTCTGGCTCTTGCCCCTTTGGTTACAGCTCGTAACGAGCTGAGGAACAACTGACGGCTGTCCACTTGCATCTGGCTGTCATCGTTAACGGCAACTGCAGCCAACTGTGGCTTAATTGTGGCAGGGCCCTGTGGCAGGGCTGCGGCTTAATGACTGCACACGCGGATAGCATCTAAAGGGGCAACACTTTGGACCTAGGCCAAAACAGTTTCTTATCACGTGCTGGCCAGCAAAGCTGACTTGAGGCTGTGGAGGAAGCGAGATCAAGGCCATGACCACGAGCTGGAGGAACGAATCTGTGCAAGACAAGGCAAATGTAAACGATATTCAATTGTTGTACCCTGCGGCCAAGCCAGGTGAGTGAAAGAGGGCATGACAAGCTAGGGGTTAGGTATGTAAGCGTCAAAAGGCGGGCTTATTTATTGAACTTAAAAAATATATATTAATGTATATAGCTATAGAATATGTGACAGATCGAAATCTAGGCTTATAACTATTTCCGACTATGATTTTCTTAACAACTTAAAAAGCCCTGTGGCATATATTTATATATAAGTCAGACCTTTTAATCGGATACAAACTAATCCATTCCTTAACTACTTTAAGGATTACACTCTAAACACAGCTATTAAATTTCACTGCAGTCGGGTATAGCCTTTTTTTTTTGACAATTAATAATTATTATTATAAACCCATTTTTATTTATAATAACTAAAGTAAATACATTGTTTTTGTGCAGGGTATTTATAGGATTTAATGTATCAAAAGCTGTTGAAATTTCTTAAACATTCAGGGCATATAATTTTCTAATACTTCTTAGCCATATATTCTGGCAAGTAAATAGTCTATGGTTAAAATTGATTATTTATTATATTTATTTATTTTTACTAACTTTATTTTTATTGACATTCCCCCGTATATTTCCTTTGCTTTTACTTAAACAGGGTATATGCTAGTCAGTCAATCGTATTGGCTGTCGCTGTTATTGTTATTGCTGTTGCCGCATTCAAGTGGCATTTTGTGGCCGTCTTTAACTGCGACTGCAACTGCAACTGCAACTGCAACTGGAACTGCTGCAACTGATTTAAGATGCGCCTCGCGTTGCCTTTTCCCGACTGGGCCCCAACGGCATTTCAAGGTGAGTGAAGGCCAAGGGCCACATTTGTCCAGCTACATACGAGGCTTCGGTCTGGCCAAGGCCTTAATCGCCGCAATCCCAAATTGGAATTTGGTTTTATTTTTAGCCACAATATCTGGCCACGCATCGCAACGCAAGTCGAGCGTCTGATTAGGATTGATAGCATTGGCCAAATAGAGTTATACTCCGTTTGGGCCCAGAGTTGAGAATTGCCCTTGAGCTGTGGCTATTTACAGCTCACAGCTGGATTGATAAGTGCATTTTAATGTCGTCTCACTCGCTCTCTGTGCCTGCCCCGGCCCGCACCACACTTGCTCTTAATCAAAGCCCAATCCAGAGCAGCGGCCCATAATTTGCCAGAATGGCCACCTTAATGATCTTGTTAGTCCAAGAGCCTCAATGCCTGGCCTGGACGTCTTTTGTGGCAGTTGTCCAATTCACTTTAAATTCCTGTCGCCAACTGGAACAGCTTCAGCTTAAGTTTGTGGCGATGTTTGCTTTGCAAATTCCTGGCCCCAACTGGAGCTGTGCTCTCTGGCATCCATTTGATTTTGTCGTGGGCTGTCGCCTCGCTGATTTGTGCATCATTAGGTCTAGAAATTCAGGGCTAATTACTTATCACCCGGGACACACCTTCGCGAAGCCGGTTTTGCTTTGATTAAGACAACTTTGTGTGCGATGTGCTTTGTTTTGCTATACCCTTCCAAGAGAGTATTATAAATATGAGAGAAGCTTTGTTGAACATTATTTTCACTTATTGCAGTCAGTTTGAGTCGAAATAGAAGACTAATTTGGAAACAATCCTTCGCAATGAGTTTTAGTATCTGTCATACTTAAACTAGCCCACTATATTATTGAGCTTCCATATAAAAAGAAATTTAACACTTTAGTATTTGTACAAAAATCAAGATAGGTGTGCAGTAATATAATTAGTTACCTGAAAATGTATTCAATCTATGGCAGCCCATATCAGCTTTTTATACCCAAGATAACCTAATCAAAGGCGATGCAGACACCTGTGACATCATATAAAGTATATATATATTCTTGAAAAGTAAAAACAGCTGAGTTGATAAGTAAATATTTTCGTCTGTCTGTTTCTATTTCAAATAAACTCTCAGTTTTAAAGTTCATAAACTTAATTTGGAACCGGATCGAACTATTATATCATGTAGCTGGCATAGGGAAGATTTGTCTGTTCGCAAATGAAGTTTTTGTGTGAAAACTCTTTTGAGTTTTTCAAGATATTTGTCATAAGGAAACTTGACAGTTATTGGGCGAAATCGTAGCACTATATCATAAAGATACCATAGGAGGAGATCCCCCAAAAATATAGGCTTGTTTGAAAACTTTTTAGTTTTTTTTCAGGATGTCTTAACTACACTTGAAACTTTATAGTTTATTGTACTCCCTATAAATAAACATAATCTTGCACAGCTGCCATAGCCCAAACTTCAGTTTGAATTCGAAAAACTTTCTTGTTTTTCAAGATATCCCAAAGAAACTCAGGAATCGCGCACATTATTATGCTTATAAGTTACAAGTCAAATCTTTTTAATATCGGACTATTATATCATTAGTTCTATGGGTACTATGGATCTAAAATGGCGTTATTTATGAGAACTTCATTATATGGCCAAGCATGGACATGTATTTGGCAGTGTAAGGGCAACTTAACTTCGGCAATTCGCAGTTAAATATTTCCTCTTCTTTTTTAACGTTCTTTTGCCTGATATTTGTTCATTCCTGCTCAGTATGACGCCATCGCAGGCATTTGGCCAGAATGCTAGCCAATTATGTGAGTGACAGGCCGCATATAAATCACGGCCCCAGTCGGGCTTAGACTGTGTATTAACAAAACAAATTTGGTTGCTTAGACAGCAGCATAAGTAAACACGCTTAAGGTGTTTGATTAACTTTTTCCCAACTTGAAGCTAGTTAATTTTCTATATATTCTAGGTTCAAAGAACTCATTTGCCCGACCCGAGATATATAAATATTTTTGGTCTAGTAATCGTTGAATTTCACACAAAACTCATTTGCATATGAAAAACATTCGAGGCCTTTGCCGCTGTCATCGAGTGGGTAAACTGCCCCCTCCCCATACTATGAGCTCATATAAGCACAGGTTGACCCCGCCTCTGCCAGCATAATGACGCCCTACTCCCCCCTGCCAGCCCTTGATCGAAGTACGCCTCGCACTTGTTGTGTCTTGTTTGTTGTCAAATTTCACGCATCGTTTTCTGTTTCGTTGACGAGCAATAAAAATTGACGGCTGCCCCACTCCGTGCCCTCGTCTGCTGCGGAAGCTCACTCGAACTGAGAGCTTTTGGCATTTCGCACTCAAAACAAACGGAATACGAGTGGAATTTCAGTTGCCTTATCAACGGGCTTCACATTTTGATAAATGGATTTTGTTCTCTCTCGGCGCCTCTTTACGCTCAACTTTTTGTTGTTAGTTTAGCTGCGTGTGTTTTTTTTTTTTTTGACATTTATAAATTTTGTTCTAAGTCAAATGAAGTCATCGCATTAAAATATATTTTATATATGTGCATACGCAGGTTCCCTGCGGGCTAGAACTTGGCTAACTTGACCAGCTCGAAGAGGTAGCTGGAGTGGATTGTATGCCATGATTTATGGGTTTCCTTTTGCGCCTGCGAATTCAAAAGTTTTTTGTCTTGTTATTTGGTGCCAAGAGTTCGCTCAGAAATTGCGCTCGCCGAAAAGCTCACTCAATTCACACGCAAAAATATCACTCATACGCCGCTTGTGCTTTGGCCCCCGTCTGGCGCTGGCTGCGCATTTAACCAAAACAGTTGAGTCTCAACAGCCAAGGCAAGCGCGCGCAGCACGGCAAACATTTTGAAAAAATTCGTAAACAAACAACAAAACATATTTGAAAAATATATTATAACTTTAATATATATATTTTTGTTGCGTCTAAAATAATGTAAGTTTTAAAGTGTTTAAACTCTGCTGCCTGGTTGGGAATTATACTTCCATTAAATTCCTTCAAAGTGCGACACACACACATACACACACACACACGAGAACAGCAACAGCATCGCGTTTAATCTCTGCCACTGACAACAGAATTTCAACGGGTTGCGTTTTGCCTTTGTGGAAATTTCAAGTGCTGCATGACCCATTTTCTCTACTCCAAAATAGAAAATCGCTGCAGCTCCTTGTTTTTTCTTCATTTGTTTTTCATATATAACAATGCGTAGCATCGTTTTAGGCGCATTTCCCCCCCTCTTCATAACATTCCCTTCCGTTTGTATGTATGCGGCGCTTGCGCGTTCCTGTGCTCCTGCTCCTGCAGGGTCCGGGCGGGCAGCGTGATGTCATCTAGAAGCTGCCTTTCATATCATCGTGTGTATACTTATAAAAACATGATGCATATGTGCTTGGGCAGACCTTGGGGCTTTGTTCTGCCTGAGCCTATATAACTGAGCCCCCTGCTTAACATTTTTTTTTTTTTTTTGTGATATTGTATTGCGTGCTTGTGCGACACCCTGCCCAGCAGCAACCCCTCCTCCTCCAGCCGTGCTGTGTATTGCGCTTCCTGTTTAAAGTGCTTCACACACATTTAATTTATGCAGCGCCTAATATTTCATATACTTATCGTATTATATATTGAGGCAGTCGCGCATATTGTGACCTAAATATTCCGCTCTTCCCCTCTTTAATGCATATAGTCCGATTGTTTTAAATAACTCTCCACATACCCTGAAAAACTGTGTGTATGAGCCATCTAGAGTATTTATTTTGGCATACTTAATGCCCCACTATTCCATATAGTTTTGGTATATACATAAAAGTATAAATTCATCTGTAATCTCACACATAAATTTACTTATTATCGAAGAGATATATGGTAAATAAAAATAGAAACTGAAAGAAAAAAGAACCACTAATCCTACAAATTTTTATAGGCATTAGAAAATGAACTTAAGAGTTATTTAAAAACTCATTTTATATAGCTTGGCACCAGGGGACTACGAGGTATCTTCTAGTCTAGACTATCTTCTCGACTGGACTTCTGCCTGCGTAAAAGTCACATCAATGGAAATTCAAATTGTGTTTCAAATTTGGACAAATCTAAATACAATTTTGGCTGGCCACGCGCTCTGTCATGAAACGAGATGCGGATGTCGAGAGATGAACGCAACAATTTGTATAGTCATACATGTGGTCATATATATATTTCAAGTGTATATATGTATATGTGTGTATCTGTGTGTATATTAATGATCTCGGCAGCCAAAGCGGATTATGAAGTATCTTTTGCACGGCTCGGTACTAGCCAACTTTTCTTGCCCAACCGCCAGACTGTCTGAACTTTTGCTTTGCGGCTCGCCTTTTGTCGTGTTTTCTGGTTTGTTTTTTATGTATTTATGGTTTCCAATTACCGGAACACAAAGGGCTGCAAAGGCAATATATCGATGGGCGTGCTACACACGCAGACTTATACGCTGTCTTATAATTAATTTTTACACTTGACATTTGCGGAGCTGACCTATACCTAATCCCAACCGAAGAGGACATATACCTTCAAGAAAGCAGCCAGGATTGTACAGTAAATGCTCGTTTGAAGCACCGAAGAATTCCCAAGAATTAAAGGACAATTTTGAAGATAATCTGTGCTATTTTCATTACAGGGTATACAAAAAATGTTGCGAATTTGGATTAAGTTCGTACCAGAAAACAGTTGTCCTCTCTATGAATTTGTACCTTACTGGAGACTTCACTGTAGTTATTTGTCGAAAACTCCCTTATCGAAAACTTCCTTGTATTCAAATGTTTGTTTAAATTTATCTTAAGTTCATACTAGAAAACAGTTGCGCTTTCTAGGAAGTTGTACGTTAGCGGAGGCTTCACTTTAGTTAGTTATCGCTACAGGAAAGCGGCCTAGGCTGTTGTACAGTAGGAACTCGCTTGGGGGAAAATATGTATCCCGTTTTACCCACTTTCAGTGCAGGGTATTCAACTATCTGTTTAAATTTACATTAGGTTTGTACTAGAAAAGAATTGTTCACTCTAGAAAGTTGTACATTACCGGAGGCTTCACTGTAGCTAGTTATCGTTCACTTCTATGATTTCACAAATGCATCTCTATTATTGTTTGGTTTGCCTCACCCAAAACCAAACCCCGAGCGACGTAATTGCGACGCGTAATGACGATGACATAAGCGATACGATTTAGTCGACCCCTTTAACCCCTGCTGCCCACATATATAGTATATATTAGATGTACACACTGGCGGCAAATAATTGTCGATGATCCAGAGCCACATTTGTTACGGTCCACGGATCGCTGCATGCCTCTGGATCTGGGCGCAACCTTGACCCAGGCAATCTTATCGCCAGCTCGTCGCATTCAATTACCTGGATCTTGTTGCAGGCCCTTAACTGGTTGCCTTCCGGGACGTTATCGTAATTTAAATTATGCGCGTGCAGCTACCACAATTGTCTGTCTGCCTGCCTGTTTATATACATACTTATATGTATATACCATATAGATGCCAGGCTTAACTGGCGCATAATTAATGATCGCCGCATTGAAAGCTCACGTTTTATTTACTGTTTATGTTTCGATATGTGTGGGGCCCAGCTACAAATCTTAACATGCATGTTAAACATGACGACAATTTATGCCATACGCTAACTTAAACACTGATATATCTACAAGATGTATGTGCTCTTAGCCTCATAATAGGGCTAGAGGGCGAAAAAACATGTTTATTAATGATTGGCAAGCGAAAACCTAGTGTAAGGTCTGTGCCGTTATGTGCGGGCTCTACACTGAGAGAAAAACAGCAAAAATCAAGGGCTACTAACTGGAACGAGCCCATAAGGCTTTTTAAAGCGTTTCGCCCCACTTTATAGTCGTTTCTATTGCTTGCTTGGTTTTTTTTTGGTAATAGAAAACAAGTTAATCAATGATTGCTGGATTTGAACCAGCGATCTTTCGCTTGTCAGTCCGATGCTCGAACACGTAAGGAGAACTTGTTCATGACGTCATAAAATGATAATACGCAGAACAAATACTTATATATGTATATGCAAATTCTGTTTTTAGCTTTTTGTAGAAAACAAAAGTTAAAACATTTAAAAAATTAGCTTTAAGGCTAAAATTATTATTATTAAGCTTAGAAAAAGAGGGAATTTTGTTTCAGTTGTTGAATAGTTGTTTCACTGTAGGGATACAACTGTTTGTTTACCATGCGATTAGAATTCTAATGGAAGTCGCTAATGAGCAAATGTATTGAGCTCGGAGAGCAGGTTTATCGCGTCACTTGAAAGCTAGATCCGAATAACCTTCCGCAGTTAATTAGCGGCCAGCATTTGTGAAAGCTTCCATTTGGCGCTATTGTCCGCTCGCAACAATGATATCATCGGAATAAAGTGTGTGTGTGTGTGTTTACTTATATAGAGGTATAAAGAGAGTGTAGTCTGATAAGCTATCTTCATATAGAGATATATAAACATGCGGGCAGATTTGATTTGAGAGAAGCTATAGCCGATAGTCAGATATAGAAGCCAGAGTCAACGCCATGTTACCGAGCGTTGTGGCTCACAGGTGAGAAACTGCGCACAAAACTGGGAACCAGGCAGCAGCTGGATGGATATATGGATGCACTCTTTAATCGCATTGAAACCCACCGAAATTTGCAGAGCCCACAACATGTCTGAGGCCGGAGCAAATGGCAGCAGCGAGGCACCCGCCGCGGAACTGGCGCAGCTGGCGCTGGAGGAGACCGCACCGAAGGTCAGTTTTTCGGATCAGTTCAAGGCGTTCTCCAAGTTCGGCGATACCAAGTCCGATGGCAAGCTGATAACGCTATCGCAGAGCGACAAATGGATGAAGCAGGCGAAGGTGTTCGACAAGCAGATCACCACCACCGACACGGGCATACACTTTAAGAAGTTCAAGGCCATGAAAATCACGCTGGCCGACTACAATAAGTTCCTCGAGGATTTGGCCAAAACGAAAAAGGTGGAGCTGGCGCAGATTAAGCAAAAAATGGCCGGCTGTGGTGCACCGGGCGTGCAGCAGGTTTCGGTGAGTTAGCCTTGCCTCTCAATTTCAACTCGGATTTTCACCAACAATCTCATCCAAAGGCGGGCAAAGCCGCTGCCGCTGTGGACAGGCTGACGGATCCCAGCAAGTATACGGGCTCGCACAAGGAGCGCTTCGATGCCACCGGCAAGGGCAAGGGCATTGCCGGGCGACGCAATCTGGTCGATGATTCCGGCTATGTCAGCGGCTATCAGCACAAGGACACCTACGATGGCGCCCATTAATACCCCTCGACATGCTCGACATTTACACACACACACACACACACATACACATCTCCTTGTTTTGTCTCACAATTTTCCTGATCTTTGGCTAATTTATTACCCGTTTTCCAATGGTAGCACCAGTTATTTTTGTATTTCCTTCATTTTCCTTTTCTTATTACATATAAGTTGTGATTAAGTGCTTAAAAATAAATTTTTTTTTATTAATTTACAATTGTTTGTTTTATTTTAAATTAATTTTTACATACAAAGCGGCCCAAAAGTTCAAAAAAGTTTACACATCAAAATCAAATTTATATACTTATTATATATCTCAACAAAGTAAAATACATTTATAAAATAGAACTTTTAATAATACACTTTACAAAAGATGAATAATATAAAATACTTATACCAAAGATAAACTGACATACAAATTTATGTGTGCTCCAAAATACGTATTTTTATTTTCAATTCAAATAAAGTGAAACATATACAAGTTCTTAAAAGCCTTCTATTCCTGCAATCGAAGCAAAGTTAAATTGTCTTTTATCAACATTTTACAAAAATGTATATATGTTTTTTTAAATCAAAAGTTTGAGAAACGAACAAGTCATGTTTAAAATTATAATTATATTTACAAGTTATGAAAGTTGAAAGTCCTTGCTGAGTTCGTAATTCCTGAGTCTGTACTCAACTTTTTTCATGTGAATTTTGGCAAACAATTTTATTGTTTTTTTTTTTAAATTTAAGTACAGAATCGAAGTTAGGTCATATCCAAAATAATATTAAATGTTAAAATTGATTGAGTTTTGTCTAAGTTATGAGGGCATATGAAAAAAAAGGGATATATAAAAAAATGAGAGAGGTTTAACTATAGCCAAGTTGTTAATCCGTATGAAAACTGATTTAGTTTTGAAAAAGTCCCGAACTCTAACCATGAAGGTGTTTGGCATGATTAGAGGTACAATGTGCTGTGTAGATAGCGACAATAAAACTGACCTCGGAAAACCAGAGCAGTGTGAAGCAGATCAAAAGCTAGACGAGCCCAGCGACTACATCGAAACTGATAGCTGCCGCAGCAGCTTTTGCATAATAAACCCAACCGGAGGCAGTTGAAGGGCTATCGATTGCAGCCAGCAGCCAGTCGATCGGTGCTAATCACAGATCGGATATATGACCAGATATCGTATGACCAGCGACTATAATACTAAGCAGCGGGCCTATAAAAGTCGCATGCCCAGGCCTGAGAGCCAGCCAGTGCAGAGTCGACAGCCAAAGAGATTGGATTTAGTCGTGAAGCTCTATCGCAGCATTCGTGTTATATTAAAGCAACGCACAGCAGATCCACAGGTGACAACAGGAGCTATGGCATTTCGTGGCAAGAATGCGGTGGTCACAGGCGGCGCTGGAGGAATTGGTCTGCAGGTGGCCAGGCAGCTGCTGGTGGCGGGCGCCGGGGTGAGCTATGGCTGAAGTAATTTGAATGTAAACAGTCAAAGATATGTGTGCTCCACAGAAGGTTGCCATAATTGATATACAGGATAATCTGGAGGAGTTTGTCAAGCTGCGCGCAGCGCATCCCACGCAGAGTGTCATGATTATTAAAATGGACGTTGCTAACAAAAAGGGCGTGGAGGCCACCTACGAGGAGATCAAGAAGACCTTCGGCAGCATTGATATTGTGGTAAATGTGGCGGGCATATTCAATGACAAGGATGTGCAGCGCACGCTGCTCGTCAATCTGGTGAGGCAACCAGCTACAATTCTTGGTTACAGGATTCGAAAAGTCGATCCTCTTCTTGCAGGGCGGCATCATCAATTCCAGCTTGAGCGCTTTGCAGTACATGAGCAAGGAGCACGGCGGCAATGGCGGCATTGTGGTCAACATGAGCTCCGTAGTGGGTTTGGATCCAATGTTTATAATACCTGTTTATGGTGCCACCAAGGCGGGCATTATAAGCTTTACGCGTTGCCTTGGCGTGAGTAGCTAATGGTAACTTGCTGAAGATCCCTTTTTCAATTCCACTTTCCGCACCTAGAACGACAAGTTCTATCAACGCTCTGGCATTAGATTTGCCACAGTCTGCCCCGGCGCCACCATGACGGACATGTTTACCAATTTCACGGAGAAGATCATTTTTCCAGAGACCAGCGATGAGACCTATAAGATTTTGGATCGTCTGAGCAAACAGAGCGTTACAGATGTTGCCCGCTGCATTCTGAATGTGCTGGAAAAGGAGAAGAACGGCGCAGTCTATGTGATTGAGGGCAAACGCATCATACCCATTGACATGAAGCCGCACTGGACTGGCAAGGAGCCGGCGCTTTGAGCCAACAACATATCCAAAAGCTGAACAATACACAATTAATCACTTATCAATATGTCGAGGGTAGTTTTTAATAAACAATCAAGCATACTCTATGGGTGGCCATATCCTAATCCTGTCGCCAGTTGACCAACACCTCATCCGTGCGATATCGTTGCGTTACGAATGCATCTTCCAGTGGCATTTGCGTGCCGGCGCTGAACATTTCGGCGCCCGCATGGGCTATCATTAGGCCATTGTCAATGCAGTAGCGTTCATCGATGGCGAAGAGTTTGCCGTTGCGCTCCTCGCACATGATGCGCATCATCTCCTGCAGGCGCTCGTTGCAGCCCACGCCACCGACAATTAGGACCTGGAAAGACAACAGACTAAGATATAAATATATGCGGATAATTAGAGAGTCTCTTACTGACCTCATTGGATTCACAGTGCGCCATGGCGCGCTCCGTGATCTCGACTAGCATGGCAAAGATGGTTTCCTGCAGCGAGTAGCATAAATCCGCCTGGCTATAATCGGGCTCCGGTTCATCCTGCTGTTTCTTGCGTTTGTTGCGCCGCTTGCCGGGCTCCGCCAGCTCCTCAATATGCGATAATATGCCAGAAAAGCTGACATCCATGCCCTTTACCACATACGGCAATTTGATGTAATGTTGCCCCTGTTTGGCCAACTGTTCAATGTTATAGCCCGGACTGGGATCGTTCGACAGCTTGATAATGCGCGCAAATCTATCCAAGCAGTTGCCCACAGCAATGTCTATCGTTTCGCCAAAGATGCGATAGCGTTTGTTAGAGTACGCAATCACCTGGGTATTGCCGCCGCTTACGTACAGCACAATCGGATTCTGGGCGCCTGTTATCAATCGACCCATTTCAATGTGGCCAATGCAATGGTTGACACCCAGGAGGGGCTTCTTCCAGAGCAGTGACAGCGTGCGTGCCACAATGGCGCCAACCAGGAGAGGTGGCGCCATGCCAGGACCTTTTGTGTAGCAGATGACATCCAAGTCGCTGGGTTTTAGTTGTGCCTCCTTTAGACTCGCCTGCACAAGTGCCAAAATCGCCTCGCGGTGATGCTTGGCCGTCTCCTTGGGCAGAAAACCTGTTGCATAGATATAAAGTCAAAGCAATCGTAGTTAACTTGGAGCACTTAAGATACCTTCACCGGGCGGTGTTATGTAGGTGCGTCGCACATTTGCCAATACTTTGCCATCGTTTATGATGCCAACACCAATTTTATTGGCGCTGCCTTCGATGCCCAGCGCGCAAACCATAATTGTTTACTTTTGTATTAGAGCTGAGCAATATCGTCGCACATGTGACTGGGCTATTGTGACTGACAAATCGTGTGATTGTGAGTCACTGTGACTGCAATATTGCTCATCTCCTCAGTGCGCGCCTCTTCTACTCATCTCCAGCTGTCCGATAGCATAACATTGATTATCGATAACAAACATATGTTAAAATGCATTGCGAATGTCAGTGGCGCCAGTGCGTGTCAGCGTCGATGTGTGAATGACGATTTTTAATAGGCGAGAAGAATGTAGTGAAAACAAATCAGTTGTTTTTTGCAATATTGTGTATTTATTTAAAAGTACTTAAAAATGGAAACGGCTTCAACGCCGATTGAGCCAAACAGTGACGGCATTGATTTGGCTGCTGATAATAGCTGTAGACTAGCTAATCAGGCAGCTGTAATACAAATAATAAATGACGCCGACGTGGATGCAGCGACAGATTCTGCGGAGCAGCAACAGCAGCTGGAATGCAAGAGCAAAGTACAAAGCGAGGAAAACATAGCGATAACAACAACAACAAATGAAAATACAACAGAAGATAAGAATACAAATGAGTTAGCCATAGTTAAGGAAATGCATGCATCTGTTGTCGAGCAAATGGTCAGACACAAACCCGAGGACTCCACGGCAGGCATCAGTTTTGCAGAGCTCAAGGCGCAGGCGGAGGAACAGGAGCTCATAAAGGATGCTCCACAGCAGGATATACTGGCACATGTGCACTGCCTGGCGCAGCTGGAGGAGCAACGGCGCAGCTATGAACGCCAGCTGGAGCAGCTGCGCACAGCGAATGCCCAAAAGGATAATATGATGCAGTTGCTGCAGCGTGAGAATGCGATACTTGATAAGGAGAAACAGGCATTTCGCAATGAAATGGACTCGGCCAACAAGGAAAAGGAGACGACTGTCATTAAGTTTGCCATGAAAGAAAAGCTGCTCATCGATGCCAAAAAGGAGAAGGAGGCGGTCGAGAAGCAGCTGGCCGATGCCAAGAAGGAGGTCAAAAACGTTTCCATTCGCTTTCAGGCGGTGCACGAGGAAAAGTCGCGCATGACCTATATCATTGACGAAAAGGTAAGTCCTTTGCATAAGACAAAGATTCTATTCTAACAATGTTTTCCATTTTGTAGTGCGGCGAGGTGCGCAAGTATCAGCGCGAGCTTGAGAAGCTAAAATTGGAAATGGGTCACTTGGAGTCCAAGCTGAAGTATCATGCCAACAAGCTGAATATTGAGGTGGAGGCCAAAGCGGTAGGTGGCATTTAATATTTACCCTTCTTCGAAATGTAAGCTCTTCTCATCTGGAAACTATAGCAATTGGAACGCAAGCTGGAAGAAGAACGCAATGCGCCCAATAAACTTGAGGAAAAAGCCAATGGTGAGTCCTTATACAAGCTCTTATGACCTTTAATTATTTATATCTATTGCAGAGAAGCTAAAAGTGGAATTTGAAGCCAACTCAATACTCCTGAAACACGAAATTATGCGCAAGACTGAGGCACTGGACAAGCTCACCAAAGAGCATCAAAAGCAAAGTGAGGCTAACAAGGAGCTGCAGCAGCAGCTGCAGGAAATAAACGCTGCGGTACAATCCATTATATCTTTAACTATGGCTTAATCATCAATGTCCTTTGCTCTGCAGCATCAACAACTGACCGAACAGTTCAAGGAGCTGCAGTCGCAGCATAGCTCCGTGGAGGCAGCCTACAGCGATGAGCTGCTGAATGCGGCCAAGCTGCATAGCCAATTGGCTGAGCTGCAGCTTTTGCGCACGCAGAATACAATGTACGGACTTTCAGTAAATAAAAGTAGCATTAGTTTAGAGTATTTATATTCTTCGGGCACCGAAGAACCTACCAAATGATTAATCATGCTCTCCGAAGAACCTTCCGACCGTTTGTTAGGATATCCGAGGAGACGGACATGCCGAAACAAAGTTTTCTCTACGACATTACCTGCAAGAAAATTATAATACCATCAATCGCTAATTTATTTTTTTTTACATTTCCGCAGTAACGAACAGAAACTGGCTGAGGAGCAGACAAGAGTACAAAAACTGGAGGCCACTGCGCTGGACAATGAGACAGATTTGTCGCAGCTGCAGCAAAAGAAACAGGAACTGTTGAGCATCAACAAGGAGATGAGCGAGCTAATAGTGCGCCTGCAAAATGATATCTGTCTGGCCGAGTCGAAGGTAAGTGCATGAGCAAAAAATAAAAATTATTCATAAAAAATGTACATGCCCCGGGTGAGGCTCGAACTCACGACCTTAAGATTATGAGACTTACGCGCTGCCTACTGCGCCACCGAGGCCTTGTTATTGCTTCGTTTCAAATCTCCTACTAAATATGCCTATTTTTACGAAAAGGCACAAGGTCTTGAGGCAGAGAATAAATTGCTGAAGCAGGAGAAGCTCACATACGATGCCAAATACAGCGAACTGGAGCAACAGCTGAGCGCGGAGGCGGCCGAGAAAAATGAGGAGCGTCTATTGCTGGCGAAACATCTGTCGGAGAAGACCAAGCTCTATGAGCTGATCAAAGGCAAGCTGGAGAATGTGCAGGGCGACTTTGAGGCGACGCAGCACAAGAATGCGACGCTGGTCAAGGAGCTGCAAAGGGAGCTACAAAAGTACAAAAGAGGCATCGTGGATGCCAAGCCCATTGGCTATTGCAGCAACTGTCAGCAGGCGCTGAATGGCTACAGCCAGGAGCAGCAGCAGCAGCAAGCGCTGCGCACACACAGCCGCAACAGCAGCCAGGGCAGCCTGCACAATGGCAGTCGACGCGCCAGCGAATCATCCGAGTCCGAAACGGTGGCCAGCAGTGTGACGGCTGTGCCGCAGACAGACCTGCAGGCGGTGCCGTCCAAGAAGGTTCTGGTGGAGCGCATTTTGCGCCTGCAGCAGGCCTCAGCTCGTCAGACCGAACGCATCGAATTCCTAGAGAATCACACGGCCATGCTGGTCTCGGAGGTGCAAAAGAAATCCAAGGTGGTGCAGCATTATATGCTGCGCGATCAGACAGCCGGCGCGCTCACCTCCTCCAAGAGTGATCAGAACAAAAGCGAGCTGGTCAAGTATGGCAACGGCGTCATGGCGGCCATCTATGGCGGCGTCAAGGGCGCCGAAAACAAGAGCATGTCTCTGGAGCTCTCATTGGAGATCAATAAGAAACTGCAGACCGTGTTGGAGGATACGCTACTGAAGAATATAACGCTCAAAGAGAATCTGGATGTGTTGGGCCTGGAGGTGGATAATCTGACGCGTAAGCTGCGCTCATACGAACTAAACAAAGTACAGTGAAATCTCGTTGAGATGTTCACTGTACTCCACTCCATTCCATAGTCTAACTGCCTGTAAATATAGTTAAACAAATTCGTTGCGATTAAGTGTAAATTAAAAGTTTAATATGCCAACAAATGCTAAGGCGGATGCAGTGCCTCACAGCAGCCCATCGTAGAGCTTGGCGCTGACTTTCGCCGGTTGGCCCACGTCCATGGACAGCTGCCGCGTGGGCTGCTCTCCGGCTTGGGCCAGGCGCGCCAGCTTGTTGTGCGTCTTCTTGAAGTGCACATTGATAAGAGGATTCGCGTCGCCGGTTTCATCCTTAATATACTCGCGCAGCAGCGGCGGCAGCTCCATCTTTGTGGGCAGCACAACAGGCTCCACCTTTTTGGTGTTGGTTAGAAACTTGTGCTCCTGGTCAACTGGCACCAGCTCGTAGTCGGCCTTGTAGCTGGTGCTGTAGATCTCCACGGGCTTTGGCTGCGTAACGCCGCGCCAGGTCTTCTCCACGGTGACGCGAACTTTGCGCTCATTGTCGGGCTATGCATAGGAAATATATTACATTTGGCTGCCACCTGTCTTCGCCGCGCTCACCTGCTCGTTCACCGCCTGCACCTTTAGTATGCGCATATAGCAGGGCTCCGGATAGCGCTGAAACATGTTACGTATGACCATGCGACCGATGCCCCAGTCGGACAGATTACCCACGATCTCCCATAGTGTGTTGCCGCGAAAGTCTGTAGTGCGTCCAATGTACTTGATTACTTTTTGGCTCATGGTGACTATATAGTACGGCTTTTAATTGATAACTGGAGCGAAGTAAAAATATAGTAGATGGGTCCCGGTGTGCTACTTCTTCTTCATTTATCAAGCCATTCGCTTGTTATGCAAACAGCTGTGCATTTAACAGCGCTGCCACTTTTTGCATAGTCATGGCGCGAGAGAGTTTACAGTGGTTGGCAACGCGGTGTATATTTAAATTTTATTAGTGTGGAAAAACACAACAATGCATTGGGAATATGCACAGAAGAAGGAGAACGAGAGAGAGAGCAGGCAAATTGGGATGGCAGATCAATAATCGATAACAGCCCCAACAGTGTTGGAGCCTTGCAAGTAGAGCTGTGCAAATTATGTTAATCACAATTATCGATAACAGTGCCAAAATGTTTAGCTGTCGAAAAGATCCTCGTGTCGCGTGTTTTGTGTTTTGTGCAAAAAATATTATATTTTTGTGTGTTAATTAATCATTTTAATGGTGAGTTTTGTTCCATTTAGTACAACTAATCGTTTAAGCACGCATTACCACGTTTATATTGTATGTTTATATGTACACTTGTGCATTTTCTTATTGGCTTGGAATGCCAATAAATTACATGAATAAGCATTGATACTAGCTACAATTGTTATAAGCTTTTGTTAATAAGTGGACTAGCCATTGTGTGCGTGCTCTTCGATTGTATCGCTTGCCGTGTGACCCACTCCGCTTGTGTCCAGCTGCTCGTCATACGACTCCAGCTCCTCCTCGTGATTGTGCTCCTGCTGATTGGCGCTCTCGTGCAGTCCAATTGTGGCATGTGCCCCGGCCTTGGATGCATTCACTTGTGCCGCCGCTGCCGAGGAGGCTGCCTTAATGGCCGACTCCTTGGTGGCCGCAAAGTCGACGCGCGCCTGTTGCAGCTGTTCTTCGACCTGCTCTACTCGATTCTTGGCCTGACCCACCATTGTTGCCTGCGAGGCCAGCTGGTTGGACACCTCGCTAGCGGTTTGTTCCGCCTGCTCCGCCAACGCTTTGGCATTGTTCACGGCTGCAGTCAGCACGGAGATGTGATTATTCGCCGCTTGAGCGGTTTGCTGTGCCAGCTTGGCGGACAGCTTGGCCGCCTTCAACTGCTCCAGTTCGCGCGAGAGTGCTCGCTGCGCCTCGGCTGCCTGCTGCTCCAGCTCCTGGAGTATGACCTGCTTGCCGGCCAGTGCTGCCTGCGCCGTTGCGGCGGCCTGCGATGCGGCCTGTGCCAGCGTGTTTTTGGCTATGAAGGCGGCCTGCTTGGCCGCCGCATGCTGATTGGCCACGGCTGTGTACGCCTGATCCGCTGATCCCTGGGCTATGGAGCGCAAGCCGCTGCCTATGCTATAGCCAGGCTTGCTACCCTCCCCATGACTTGGGTGGCCCTTGGAGCTGCCGTGGTGCTGCTGCTGCTGATGCTGCTGCTCCTCTGGCTCTTCGTGTCCTGTTAGCGCGGGCTCAAAGTATCCGCCGCTGCTGTGCTGATGCTGTGCCTGCGGATATGGCTGCAACTGTCTGTAGTAGTAGCCATTGCGCTTGTGCAGCCTGCCCTCGGCCTGTTGCGAGCAGAACAGCGCTGTGTGTGGCACATTAATCCCAAATCCACTTCCACCTAGTCCTTAAACTTACCTATGAGCAAGTGGCAGATCAGGCAGCTTAATCCCTTGTTGTACATATTACTGCTAAAACTGCATTAAACATTTGCTTCGGCTGTTCCGTGGGTTTTATACTCGGCCAGTTCGACGCCAGCGGTGCATAAATTTTTAGTAGTGCGGAAAGTCAGTTGCGGCTTTTGAGTTTAACGGGCTCTCAACATGTAAGGTTTATAATATTTTTGGGTGATTTGAATATCCCACACAACAACACCCGCTTGAGGAAGCGCCTCTTAGTTTTATGCTGGTTTTGGCTGGTGTAAATCTGTTGGCTTTGGGCTAACAACTGGCCATCGCATTTGCATTTGATGGGTTGCGCCCAATTGTAATTGATACTAAGCTGCTTATAATATAGTTTCAGTTGCAGTAGATTTTTTATTCCTTTTGTTTTTTTTTTTAATTGTTCATTTTTATAAACATAAATTAAATTTAGAGACATTAAGCAATGTGGGGAAAGTTGTGGGGCGATGGTTTTCAAGTTGGATTTTTCATTATATAAATATTTCTTTAAGGTTTTGGTATTCTCAAGTAGATCTGCTGATTGAAGTTTGTATTAAAAACATTAAGAACGGTTTTTGAAAGTCGGTGGGAAATTATGATCTATGTCTATATATATAATATTACCATTTTTATAACAGTTTCAACCAAAAATAATGTCAGATTTAAATGCAGCATTGATCTAGAGGCCAAACGATGCACAAAAAGCCAAACTTTTTGAAAATCGGATAAGATTTGACCGAGTTATGGGGTAGGAAATTTTGACCTATGTATGTTAAGGATTTTTGAGGTCACTATTTTGACATGAATTTCGACCAAAAATCATGTTGTCAGATTTAAATGCAGCATTGATCTAGAGGCGAAACCATGAACAAAAAACCAAACTTTTTGATAATCGGATGAGATTTGAGCGAGTTATGGGGTGGGAAATTTTGACCTATGCCTACATAAGATATTTGAGGGCACCATCTTGACATGAATTTCGTCCAAAAATCATGTTGTCAGATTTAAATGCAACATTGATCTAGAGGCGAAACCATGAACAAAAAACCAAACCTTTTGAAAATCGGATGAGATTTGACCCAGTTATGGGGTGGGAAATTTTGACCTATGCCTACATAGGATATTTGAGGGCGCTATTTTGACATGAATTTCGACCAAAAATCATGTTGTCAAATTTAAATGCAGCATTGATCTAGAGGCCAAACGATGCACAAAAAACCAAACTTTTTGAAAGTCGGATGAGATTTGACCGATTTATGGGGTGGGAAATTTTGACCTATGCCTACATAAGATATTTGAGGGCACCATCTTGACATGAATTTCGTCCAAAAATCATGTTGTCAGATTTAAATGCAACATTGATCTAGAGGCGAAACCATGAACAAAAAACAAAACCTTTTGAAAATCGGATGAGATTTGACCGATTTATGGGGTGGGAAATTTTGACCTATGCCTACATAAGATATTTGAGGGCACCATCTTGACATGAATTTCGTCCAAAAATCATGTTGTCAGATTTAAATGCAACATTGATCTAGAGGCGAAACCATGAACAAAAAACAAAACCTTTTGAAAATCGGATGAGATTTGACCGAGTTATGGGGTGGGAAATTTTGACCTATGCCTACCTAGGATATTTGAGGGCACTATTTTGACATGAATTTCGACCGAAAATCATGTTGTCAGATTTAAATGCAGCATTGATCTAGAGGCGAAACCATGAACAAAAAACAAAACCTTTTGATAATCGGATGAGATTTGACCGATTTATGGGGTGGGAAATTTTGACCTATGCCTACATAAGATATTTGAGGGCACCATCTTGACATGAATTTCGTCCAAAAATCATGTTGTCAGATTTAAATGCAACATTTATCTAGAGGCGAAACCATGAACAAAAAACAAAACCTTTTGAAAATCGGATGAGATTTGACCGAGTTATGGGGTGGGAAATTTTGACCTATGCCTACATAAGATATTTGAGGGCACCATCTTGACATGAATTTCGTCCAAAAATCATGTTATCAGATTTAAATGCAACATTGATCTAGAGGCGAAACCATGAACAAAAAACCAAACCTTTTGAAAATCGGATGAGATTTGACCCAGTTATGGGGTGGGAAATTTTGACCTATGCCCACATAGGATATTTGAGGGCACTATTTTGACATGAATTTCGACCAAAAATCATGTTGTCAGATTTAAATGCAGCATTGATCTAGAGGCCAAACGATGCACAAAAAACCAAACTTTTTGAAAATCGGATGAGATTTGACCGAATTATGGGGTGGGAAATTTTGACCTATGCCTACTACATAAGATATTTGAGGGCACCATCTTGACATGAATTTCGTCCAAAAATCATGTTGTCAGATTTAAATGCAACATTGATCTAGAGGCGAAACCATGAACAAAAAACAAAACTTTTTGAAAATCGGATGAGATTTGAGCGAGTTATGGGGTATGAAATTTTGACCTATGCCTACATAGGATATTTGAGGGCACTATTTTGACATGAATTTCGACCAAAAATCATGTTGTCAGATTTAAATGCAGCATTGATCTAGAGGCGAAACCATGAACAAAAAACCAAACTTTTTGAAAATCGGATGAGATTTGACCGAGTTATGGGGTGGGAAATTTTGACCTATGCCTACATAGGATATTTGAGGGCACTATTTTGACATGAATTTCAACCAAAAATCATGTTGTCAGATTTAAATGCAGCATTGATCTAGAGGCCAAACGATGCACAAAAAGCCAAACTTTTTGAAAATCGGATGAGATTTGAGCGAGTTATGGGGTATGAAATTTTGACCTATGCCTACATAGGATATTTGAGGGCACTATTTTGACATGAATTTCGACCAAAAATCATGTTGTCAGATTTAAATGCAGCATTGATCTAGAGGCGAAACCATGAACAAAAAACCAAACCTTTTGAAAATCGGATGAGATTTGACCGAGTTATGGGGTGGGAAATTTTGACCTATGCCTACATAGGCTATTTGAGGGCACTATTTTGACATGAATTTCGACCAAAAATCATGTTGTCAGATTTAAATGCAGCATTGATCTAGAGGCCAAACGATGCACAAAAAGCCAAACTTTTTGAAAATCGGATGAGATTTGACCGAGTTATGGGGTGGGAAATTTTGACCTATGCCTACATAGGATATTTGAGGGCACTATTTTGACATGAATTTCGACCAAAAATCATGTTGTCAGATTTAAATGCAGCATTGGTCTAGAGGCGAAACCATGAACAAAAAACCAAACCTTTTGAAAATCGGATGAGATTTGAGCGAGTTATGGGGTATGAAATTTTGACCTATGCCTACATAGGATATTTGAGGGCACTATTTTGACATGAATTTCGACCAAAAATCATGTTGTCAGATTTAAATGCAGCATTGATCTAGAGGCGAAACCATGAACAAAAAGCCAAACTTTTTGAAAATCGGATGAGATTTGACCGAGTTATGGGGTGGGAAATTTTGACCTATGCCTACATAGGATATTTGAGGGCACTATTTTGACATGAATTTCGACCAAAAATCATGTTGTCAGATTTAAATGCAGCATTGATCTAGAGGCGAAACCATGAACAAAAAACCAAACCTTTTGAAAATCGGATGAGATTTGAGCGAGTTATGGGGTATGAAATTTTGACCTATGCCTACATAGGATATTTGAGGGCACTATTTTGACATGAATTTCGACCAAAAATCATGTCAGGTTTAAATGCAGCATTGATCTAGAGGCGAAACCATGAACAAAAAACCAAACCTTTTGAAAATCGGATGAGATTTGACCGAGTTATGGGGTGGGAAATTTTGACCTAGATTTGAGCGAGTTATGGGGTTATGGTTATGGAGTTATGAGATTTGAGCGAGTTATGGGGTATGAAATTTTGACCTATGCCTACATAGGATATTTGAGGGCACTATTTTGACATGAATTTCGACCAAAAATCATGTTGTCAGATTTAAATGCAGCATTATGTATGCCTACATAAGATATTTGAGGGCACCATCTTGACATGAATTTCGTCCAAAAATCATGTTGTCAGATTTAAATGCAACATTTATCTAGAGGCGAAACCATGAACAAAAAACAAAACCTTTTGAAAATCGGATGAGATTTGACCGAGTTATGGGGTGGGAAATTTTGACCTATGCCTACATAAGATATTTGAGGGCACCATCTTGACATGAATTTCGTCCAAAAATCATGTTATCAGATTTAAATGCAACATTGATCTAGAGGCGAAACCATGAACAAAAAACCAAACCTTTTGAAAATCGGATGAGATTTGACCCAGTTATGGGGTGGGAAATTTTGACCTATGCCCACATAGGATATTTGAGGGCACTATTTTGACATGAATTTCGACCAAAAATCATGTTGTCAGATTTAAATGCAGCATTGATCTAGAGGCCAAACGATGCACAAAAAACCAAACTTTTTGAAAATCGGATGAGATTTGACCGAATTATGGGGTGGGAAATTTTGACCTATGCCTACTACATAAGATATTTGAGGGCACCATCTTGACATGAATTTCGTCCAAAAATCATGTTGTCAGATTTAAATGCAACATTGATCTAGAGGCGAAACCATGAACAAAAAACAAAACTTTTTGAAAATCGGATGAGATTTGAGCGAGTTATGGGGTATGAAATTTTGACCTATGCCTACATAGGATATTTGAGGGCACTATTTTGACATGAATTTCGACCAAAAATCATGTTGTCAGATTTAAATGCAGCATTGATCTAGAGGCGAAACCATGAACAAAAAACCAAACTTTTTGAAAATCGGATGAGATTTGACCGAGTTATGGGGTGGGAAATTTTGACCTAGATTTGAGCGAGTTATGGGGTTATGGTTATGGAGTTATGAGATTTGAGCGAGTTATGGGGTATGAAATTTTGACCTATGCCTACATAGGATATTTGAGGGCACTATTTTGACATGAATTTCGACCAAAAATCATGTTGTCAGATTTAAATGCAGCATT